CTGCTGAGTCCTCAAATGGTCGGATCGTTCTGTCACGGAACAGTTACAAAAAGTGGAGGGAGGACTCAAGTGCAGAAAAGGATGATTTATTTACAAAAGAAAACAAAACACAAAGCAAAAACCCACAAGGGGGAAAACACCATAAATGGGACATGAAACAAAACTGAACTCGAAGAACAAACACTAACTCTGAACACGACGATAACTGGGAAACATATGACAACGATCCGACAAGGACTGCAAACAAATCAAGAGGGAACAGGTGGAAGAACTCAAACACTAATCAGGTAACAAGGGGGAGGGATCAAACAATAACGAGAGCACATGCTCCAACATAACAAAGACACCCAAGTGTAATACAAGACAGGACAGACACGTGACAGTCTCGCCTACCCACTGCCTCATTCGACAACACAGGAGAAGAGGCAGGTATTTTTTACTTCTCACACATGGAAGAATTACCAGTGGGTGCGAAGGACATTGAGAGAGCTATTTTTAAAGATCCTACACTGAACAAAGTGTGGAGCTACACAATGAATGGTTGGCCCAGTTATGTTCAAGAGGAAGCACTGCGACCATATTTCATACGCAGGCAGGAGTTGTCCGTGGACAAAGAACGTATATTGACAAGAAGTGAAAGCCAATAGAACGTTTCATTGCAACACCAGCGCCCAGCAGCAGCCCTACACTTCCGCCATTTCGGGGTGAAAGCGACTTGGCAGTCATATAATATACATATATTTAGTCCAGTGCAGAGATCATTTTTAGGTTGAAATAATTAGGCTAGGTGATTATTTAACTCACAACAATTAACTTTATAGACTTTGATACTTAACCGGGCTACCCCCACATAACTTGAGAGAGGGAAGTTTGAGGATTTAATTCATTATATTACTCTCCACATTAAGTGTAATAGGTAAGAATAAGTGATATCAGTTCATAAAGTTATAATAACATAGACCGTTTCCCGGGAGGTACACATAACGTTACTTACAAAAATAAGTTATCAATGAAATAAAGGACCATGTAAACAAAAAAACACAGCCAATGTCCAAAGTGGCAATTAGTTATAGGATAACGGACACAGCTCATCAATAATCATCATGTTTGTAGCATGATCCAGGGGATTAAAATGTCCAAAATATATTTCAGGCCTAGTGGAGTTGGTAACTAATAATAGTAGTAATAAGTGTGGAAATACTCACTAATGCACAATGGAAATACTCACTAATGCAAGAAAAAACTACTTAAAAAAACTGTGCTGTGCTGTTGTCCAGTAACTCCAGTTGGAATTTTCACCCCGATATGGCGGCCGTGCTACCGAAGCGCCATCTAGTGGCTGTTACCAAAAAAGCATCAGAGTTTCGCCTCTTGTTCTTCTATACTCTTTGCCGTGGAACAAGGTTGCATTCTTTGGGGCCAGCGAGTCATCATAACCCCAGGCTATCGACAGCGCTTACTGGAAGACCTTCATCATGTGCACCCAGGTATCTGCCGAATGAAAGCGCTCGCTCGCAGCTACATGTGGTGGCCGGGCTGTGATGGGGAAATTGAGGAGCTGGTGAAGGGTTGCTCTATCTCCCAATCTGTTCAGAAAATGCCAGCAGTCGCACCGCTGCACCACTGGAGGTGCCCGGAAAGAGTGTGGCAGAGAATTCACATTAATTTTGCAGAGAAGGATAAACAGTACTTTTTGGTGGTTGTTGATAGCCATTCAAAGTGGTTAGAAGTTTTTCCCATGTCTTCCATCACATCTCAGAACACCATTGTAGTGCTGCGAAGTCTAGTTTCTGCGTATGGACTGCCAGAAGAGCTGGTATCAGATAATGGTCCACAGCTGGTGTCGAAGGAGTTTACACAGTTTCTGGAGGGAAATGGTATCACTGCTGTACCTGCATATCATCCTGCAACAAATGGAGCCGCAGAGAGGTCAGTGCAGATTTTGAAGCGTGCACTGGCGAAGGATGTGTTGGAGGCAGAGAAAAAGGCTTCTTTGCCACTTAGCCATAGACTTGCAAATTTTTTGCTCATGTACCGCAGTACACCACACACAGTGACTGGTCGGACTCCTGCTGAGTTATTTCTGAAGCGGCAGATTCGGACTCGTTTCAGTTTGCTTAAGCCCAAGCTTGCTAGTCAGGTTGAAAAGAAACAAGCAACACAGAAACGTTTTCATGACAGTGAAAGCAGGGAAGCTGTCCGTGTCCGAAATTTCAGGGGAGGAGTGGAAAAATGGATTCAGGCAAAATTGCTAAAAAGACTGGGAGCTGTCACATACATGGTACAGGACGGTCAGAGACAACGCACAGTGCATGTCGACCACATCTTGCCTTGGCGAGAAAAGGGTGAACAGATTCAAAAACTGTTGCCCTCACCAGTGGTTCAGAATGAATCACCAGTCATCAGGGACTGTGTGTTTCCAGCTGTTGTCTCCAGTGCACCAGTGAAGCTAATGCCCCCTACGGTTCCCATTAAACCAGCTGAACAGTTTGTTGATGTGTCACCATCACACACAGAAGGCAAAAGCTCACCTGAGGAACGGAGGTACCCAGTGAGGGTCCATGTACCACCTAAGAAACTGGATTTATAACTTGCAATATGTTGTATGGAAATGCTATTTTGTTCCCAGTAAAGGTTAAGCTGCCAAGTGTTTATTTAGTTTTTCATTGTATTGTGCTAATACGTTAATGAAAATTAACTTGCAGAATGTAAAAAATGTCCAGGGCAGTAGATTTATTTTGGTTGAGTAAATGAAAGTTTAGTTGTTGTTAATTATTGCTAAATTAAAAAAAATTACTATGTCAAGAAAAAGCTAAAAGGGAAGGAGTGTAATAGTTTGTGTAATTAATAAGTAGAGTCTGCCATCTTGTGGCTCAGTATTGGAAATGCAGTAATGACATTACAGGTTTATTTTTGAAACGAGTTTTGATGTTACTGGAGTGAACCGGCTTCGGTAGTTGAGCAGTCTTTATCAGAATGTTATAGAGTAAAGACGTTAGTTTGAGAACTCCTTTTTGGTGTGATTATTGTCTCACCCCCAAGATACTACAGTTCGTTCATTCAAACTGAACTCAAATACTCACACAAATGAATGCAAAGGCTGGCACATATGCAATAAGGCCAGAACTCCTGAAGAGCTCTTAGCAGCCAAAGAAACATTCCGAGATGATTTCAGTGCCCTTGCAGAACAAAAGAACATCCCGAGAAGCAGTGCGCTTAAGAAACTCAACACTCAGATTCACAATGACCTGCTTAGAGTAGGTGGACGTCTGAAAAATGCTCCTTTGGATCAGCATGAGAGGAATCCAATTATTATAACCAAGAAAAGCCATGTCACAACTGAAACACTATCATCAAGAAGTGAAACATCAAGGTCGTCAATTTACGGAAGGAGCAGTAAGGACTTCAGGCTTGTAAATGGCAAGAGGCTCATTAGTTCCATATTGTACCATTGTGTAACCTGTCGGAAACTATGGGGTGGGTTTGCACAGCAGAAAATGGCGGATCTTCCACCAGAGCGTCTGGACATGTCTCCTCCTTTCACCTATGTGGGACTGGACGTATTTGGCCCATGGTCTGTTCTGACCCGACGCACTAGAGGAGGTGCAGCAAACAGTTAACGTTGGGCAATACTTTTTATGTGCATGAGCACTAGAGCAGTGCACTTGGAAGTCCATGGATACATCTAGCTGTATCAATGCATTACGTTGCTTCTTTTCTTAAAGGGGACCAGCAAAACAGCTAAGATCCGATTGTGGAACAAATTTCATCGGAGTATGCAAAGAACTCACTGTCCAGAAGTTTCTAAGTGAACAAGGCTGTTCATGGCAGTTTAATCCCCCTAATTGGGAAAGAATGATAGGGATTACATGCAGAATCCTTGACAGTGTGCTGCTGGAATACAAATCGATAAAGCTTACTCATGAGGTTCTGTGTACTTTGATGGCAGAAGTGTCTGCAATAATCAACGCCAGACAACTGGTTCCAGTCTCCTCTGACTCAGAGATGCCATTGCTACCAACCCCTAACATTCTGCTCACTCGGGAGACTGGGTTTCCTCTTGGAATTCCTACCTGCAACTTCTCAGAGAAAGATATTTATTGAAATCAATGGAAAAGGGTACAGACCCCTGCAAACCAGTTCTGGACCTGCTGGAGACATGAGTACCTTCCCATCTTGCAACAAAGACGCAAATGGACTGAATCACGCACCAATCTTCAAGTTGGAGATATTGTTCTCTTGAAAGATAGTACCCTTTGTTGCAATGACTGGCCAATGGCAATGGTCCATACATTCCCAAGTGCAGATGGACATGTAAGAAAGTAGAGGTTAAAACGACTTCCCAAGGCACAACCAAATGGTTCTACAGATTGGTCACAGGTCATTTTGCTTCTCTCTAAAAAGGATTGAAATTATATTAGTTATAGTGATGTCTAATGACATCAGGCGGGGAGTGTTCTGTTCCTGTTTCACAGTATGTGTCTAAGTAAATTTTTGTTCCGGATCTGCCATCTAGTGGTCCTTAAAGAAACTACAGGTTTTATTGCAGGAAGTGCAGCTAGGCACATGGCTGATGCATGTTGCTCAGTCTGAGTGTTTTTTCCATGGACAACCCTCATCTATCCTTGCTTTGGAAGTTTGAAGAGCAATAGCCAGGGGAGGATTAAGGTTGTCAGTGGCCCCTAGGCTGCTTTTTGTGTGATAATAATAACAATGTTTATTATTATTAACTGTTTGCAAAATAAAAGTCTTCGTAGAATATGTACATTTGTTCTTTTTACCTGGGTTATTTTATTATTATTTGTTTTGTTATCATTTTTTATGTTGTTTTAATGATTTGGCTTTACAAAATGTCACGCCAATAAAGCTTTATGAATTGTAGAGAGAGAGAGAGAGAGAGAGAGAGAGAGAGAGAGAGAGAGAGAGAGAGAGAGAGAGAGAGAGAGAGAAAGAGGGAGGGCGCACGCGAGAGTACTCGAGAGATAAGCCCATTTCTCGCGAGAGTTTTCCGTGCGACGGTTACCTAAACCCGATCGCGAAGTTTAGCTCTTTGGCTGTGCTCAGCTGCTCAAAATGACACTGTTTAAGTGTCACCATTGTATTGGAGAAGATAAAGCAGCAGAGGACACAGATCACGTGGAGGTTTGGTATTATTCATGTTATACATCAGCTGTTTTACCCTTAGAGAAAAGCCTTAGTTTATGTGAGCTAGCTGGCTAACGTTAGCAAAGCTCAGCTGACTCGATTCATATTTACCTTTTTCGTCAACACATTAACATTATATAGCTCTTTAGCCTATTGAAGTAGTTTTTTTAATTAAATAAAGTTTTGCTTACCATTATGAATCTTTATCACAAGTTATAGAACAGTCATACCATCGTATAATATCCGTAACCTAGTTATTACCTTTAGGGAAAACCATATGGCTCTTCAGTTCAATTGTTTTTTTAGGTTTTTTTACAAACCAATATATTTTATGAAAAATAAACGTTTAAAGGTCTAAAAACACACGAATAAACAATCGCCACTGCTGCCATAGTCAAAATGTGACGCATTAAGTTATTAAAATGCTATAAATCTTGCTGCCAAAACACAGTAGTTAACGTTACTTTAATAAAACTAAAGTTACTATAAGAAATACTTTTTTTAATGGAAATTATATTATTTGGCATTGATTTCATTGTTAAGTGATTGTAAGAGCATTTTGCATCAAACTATCATTAATATGAGGGAAAAAAATCCTCCATAAAACATACACGTACATTTTTTTTAAAGAATATGTGATGGAAGTATTTGCTGTACTGCATATAAGTTATGCTGATTTAAACGCAAATTCGTTGTACTGCAATATTTGTTCAAAAACATTTTATTATAGAAATAATTTAATTTGAATCTTCATTAAGAACAATAAAAATGACCAAAAAAAAAAAACCCCTTCAAAAGTGAACTACAGTAATTAAATCTGAGGCAAAAAATTTGTTTAATTGGCGTTAATATTTCACAATGCAATTAAAATTGAAGGTGACAGAGCAATAGAATCTTGACCTGGACATGTTATTGTGGAATTAATTCAGTGTTTTTTATTACCTGACTCATTGTATTGCAGAAAATCTTGCCACCAGGGTACAGTCATCTGCTGTGTCGTCATGAACTGCTGGAAATGTCAGGGGATGTTGAAAACTTTCGAGCGGGTCTTAAATTGCAGCTGACTACAGAAGAAGAGGTCAAAAAGTGGTTGGTGGACTTCCAAAAGACCTCAGCTTTAACATGGAGGAAATCCAGGACATACCCTGATTCTGGACGCTACAACAAATACAGAGTAGGAACAACCTGTTATGTGTGTGACAGAGCTTTAAAGGCAACCTGATATCAAAATTGAGTCTATACTTTCTTAAGATGTTCCTGTTCTTATTTAATGCAATTCATCAGAGTAATAACATTCTCTAAAATGATTAACGATGATGTAAAAATGGTTACAATATTAAATGCAAAAGAGGTTTGAAGAAACCCCCCGATTCCATGTTCAGTTTAAACATTGAACGTAAGGCTATTCTCTCAAAACTGCTTAAGTACTGTATTTTGTATACCAGGTGGATCTGAGATGCCAACACAAAACGTACTGTTCATCATCCAAGACATCCAAAAATACCAACTGCCCTGCTACCATGTTTCTAATTCTCAAGAGACATATGTATGAAAGAAAGTCCAGGTGATATAAAAAATAAGACCATGGTGATGCACTACAAAACCACAAAATTTAACACCTAAACATTTTGTCATTAGTAATTTAAATTTCAATAGATCTTACAATCTATTTTGAAACTGCATTAAAACAAAATCCTGTCTAATCTAATCTATCCTTCCACAGATCAGGAGACCCACACATAGAAGAGGGCTATTTCCTTCATGTGAACTTGAGGAATGAACATAATCATAGACTGAACACTGCTGAGGTCATGAGGTGGAGAGATGTGTCTAATGACACCATTGAAAAGCTACATCAGCTCTACAGAACTGGTCACTCTCCTTCATCTGCACTCAAAAGCATTAAATACAACCTGCAGGAAGAGGAAGGTGATAACTACATTTACGCTATTGCAGATCGATCCATTTGCCCGGACATTCAGTTCTGCTACAGGTCTGTCATTGAAGGGTGTTTCATAAACTATTGTAAAATCTATATTTAAAATGTGTTATGTAATGATAATGTAGTGAAGCTGTTTATGAGTCAGTAACAACAAATAATTTTCATTATAACAATATCTCTACTTCAAAACAATATTTGCATTCATGTTTTATTTATGCTTTGTTTTAATTCTAAATATTGTGATGTTCTATAAGATTTTAAAATTTGACAAACTTAACTAACAGATACTTATTGACCTCGACACAGTAATGACAGCCTATAGATATCCACCTTGTGATACCATTTTCTCTTTTATGGCTTCGTACATGTTGGTCACACCACACTGACCTTAATTTGGTGGCCAAAGTTTTCAATATATTACTCTTTCTAAAAGTATATTTTAATACAACTTTTTTTTCACCACATTTATTTTACTTTGACATTTATGCCCCACAAATTGAAAACACGTTAATTGCAGAAGTACATTAATTCTGTTTTATGTTAATATACATGTTGTTACTACTGAATAATGAGCCCTACTTTTTATCATATTTCACTACAGATTATACTACAAGCTTTTTCAAAAGTCATATGCTGAACCTGCAGGTAAGATGATTCTGGCAAACCAGTGTCTAGAAAACAGTTTAGAGCAGTGCAGCAGCGATAGATTTATTGTGGCCATGTTAATGAAGTGGGTCACACAGGTGTACGATGTTAAAGGGGACAGAAGAGTTTTGTAGATTAATCTGGCAGTTTTGATATGCGTTTGTGTGTGTAGTATATACAGTAATTAACATTTGAAGAGTATAAAAACCTTTCATCAAAGTTATACTTTTTTTTTTTGGATCAATACATATTCTTGTCTTAGGACAACTTTGAGGAACTTTATTGATCCACTTCAAATGTTGACCACTGTATTTTATTAACATTCAAAATTATACAACAAATAGTTGCTGTCCCAGATGCAAATCTATCTGTGCTAAAATACACCATAGAATCAGCTGTTACAAGGGTGCATGCGGGGATTGATGTTGAACTCGGTTGCTGGGTTTTATTTAAAAGTGATAAAGAGGAAATAAACAAAGACAGTACTGGATATAAGGAGGTAATGTTACAATCAAGCAAAAAAGGTATACGGATATATTGTGATTATACTGTTGTGTTTGGTAACAACAGCCTTTAGCAGTGACTACATTCACAATATAGCATGGCCTCTGGTATTTTTTACAATACGTGTATAAATAGGATGGATACTTTAATTTGAAAACTGCTACAAATATATTCAACATTTAAGTCATTTTAATCAAATCAAATGATATTAAATTACATGCAATTGCAGAAGATTTGTTATTAATCCCAGCATTTCTCTTGTGAAATATGGGTGTCTATTCAGAGAAGGACATTTCAGAAGAGCTTTTTAAACCATTAGAATTGGAACAGTCATGGGAGACAACAACAGTGACAGGTGAGTATGTCCCTGTTGAAATGAAACAAGACTATATCAATAATAGTTGTCTACAAAGAGATATAGAAATGATTTAACAGCATTTTGCCTTTTCTCTAAAACAGATGGACACACTACGTGCATTGAAGATGGAGTGTCTGTAACTACTCTACCAGTCATCACCACAGGTGAAACATCTAATCTTTTGTCACTTTGTTTGACTCAGTTCACATGTGTAGATATGAAACAGGTCAGCAATGCAAGAATTCATCAGTCAATCTGTCCATCATCTAATACTAAATAACTCCATTACTATAGCAAAACATGTCATGTTTATGATCAATGCATTTTCTTACATGCCAATGGCAAGTGTTGCAAAAAGTACATTTTTGTCAGATTTTCTGGAAGGGAGGACCCAAGAGCAGACAGATGTGTAGTCAACTTTACTGAGAAAGTAAAAAAAAACAAAAAAAAACAAAAACAAAAAAAAAACAGTGAGCCTCCTTATTCCAGTCCAATTCAAAATAGCCATACAAAGACTGGTTAGCCAGGTGAGAGTCCCACCAGGAGTCCATCCGATCAGTTATCAAATCCACATTTGTGGAAACAACAAGAGTGGAAGTCAGACAGGTGAGCAGGCCAGAAATTGAGATTAAACGGGAATAACTGGACAAACCTAAAATAGAGTCAAGGGGAAGCACAGGTCACAGGTCAAAATTTGTTTGTTTTGAATCTTTATGTGAGCTGTGTCTCAATGTTTTCTGATATTAAGATTTAATATGGAAGGAGACGTTTTGTTAATATGTATGTCTTCTGTTTAGAAGGAGAAGATTTTTCAGAAGAAAATGAGCCAGGCCCAAGTACGTATTTATTTATTTTTTTAAGGGTTAGTTCACCCCAAAATGAAAATTCTGTCAGTAATTACTCACCCTCATGTTTTTCCAACCCACAAGACTTTCGTTCATCTTCGGAACACAAATTAAGATATTTTTGATTAAATCTGAGAGCTGCCTCACTCCTCCATAGTGGCAGGTTGGAGGTAGGTTTCTATTGAAATTGAAACCTCCAGGCCCAGAAAGTTAATTAAAACATTGTTAAAATAGTCCAAATGACTACAGTGGCTCAACTTTAAGTTTGTCAAACGACAAGAATACTTTTTGTGTGCAAAAAACAAAAAAAAAACAAAAAAACCTTTATTCAACCTTTCATCTACTGTATGGGCCTCTGAGTGAGTTCACGTAGTGTAACAGTGCAGCGCTGCGTCATAACGTAGGCTCACTATTGGCCGACGCTGGTCATGAGTGTGATGCTGGCCAATAATAAGCCTACATTCTGACGCAGCGCTTCGCTGTTATATTATGTGAAATCACTCAGAGGCCCACACAGTAGAAGATGAATCGTTGAAAAGTCATTATTCTCGTCAGTTTAGGCACTGTAGTCACTTTGGACTATTTTTTTTTTTTACTAACTTTCTGGGCTGGCCGGTTTCAATTACATTAGAAGCCTATGGAGGAGTGAGAAAGCTCTCAGATTTAAAGTAACACCAGGGAACTTTTCAACCTTCATGATATATTTCCAAGTCTCTTGTGATGGTACATCGACTTACAATAGGTTGAATGACACGTCTGCCATAGCCTGACGGGGTCTGTAGCGTTTTTAATTGTACTTTTAAACGTCGGGTTTCGGGTAGTAACCCGGCGAACAAAGAGAACTACAAAATTCGACTGCTTGATGGCATATATGTCACTTCCACCACCACCCCACTTCCTTAAAATCGGACGTGCGAGCCAAATGTTATAGTCATGGCCGAAGCAGCACAGAAAAACAAGAAAGCAAAGGTTTTATCGGACGAAAGCAAAAAGAGAAAAAGAGAAAGTGATCGCGTTAAAGGCAGAACGAGGATCAACTTTGGGCCAGCGGACTAATAAGTATGTTATATTGCTTGCATACTATCTCTTTGGGTTTTTTTTGTCTGCCTTACTATGTTACGAAAGCTATCTTATCCTCCGTTTATCTTCAAAATAAAGTTAACTGGTGTTTTAACTTCTAAACGGCATGTACAAATTTGGTAGGGGCTACATTCTTGCAAGGAAATAATATAAGATGTACAAAATCATATTTTAGGATACCTAACATGTCTGTGATATTCGTTTATTTTTCTTGCCTCAAGCTGTAAAGCAAATCGATTTGTAAAATTTGCAGATTCATTTATCGTAGCTTGATATTATAATATATGGTTATTATCTACCACTCAAACATTGCATTGAAGTATCATATAGATTCAGTAAAATGGTAACCAATAAACTAGGCTACTATAATGACGCTGGCTTGTAAACGTGAGCATCGCGATCATTTGTCGTTAGAAAAAATAAAAAATAAAACCCATGAAATTATATTCATATTACATGTTGAAATATATGCCACAGTACCTGGGATGAAGACATTTCACATGCGACGCAAGCAGAACACCTGCATGTGACCTCCTCCTACAGTGTTCAGGGCTATCATGGTTGTCAACAAATGCGCGTGCATGTAGGATGACAGAGTTTACGACAGCAGTAGAGGACAATACTGTTTCCCAACTGTAGGGGGACCCCGAGAGCAAAATACCTGGTGTTACTTTAATAAAAAATATCTTAATTTGTGTTCTGAATGTGAACGAAAGTCTTGAGGGGTTGGAACAACATGATGGTGAGTAATTACTGACAGAATTTTTTGGGTGAATGCATTTTACATTAAAGGGATAGTTCAGTCAAAAATTCTGTCATCATTTACTCACTTCCAAACCTGTATGAGTTTTTTTCTTTCTGTTGAACGTTATTTTTAACTTATAGAATGTTAGTAACCAGACAATTGACGTTTCAGCAGCCATTGACTTCCATAGTAGGAAAAAAATACTATGGAAGTCAATTGACTTTATGCACAGCTGCACTACTTCCTGAACTTAAGCCAGCTCCCTTGTTTCCTGTCTGCCATTATTGGTCAAATTGATTAGTTCAGGTGTGCCTGACCTCAGTAGTCACGGCAACAATAATCAGACACACCTGAATTAATCAAGCTTGGCCAATAATGGCAGACAGGAAACAAGGGAGCTGGCTTAAGTTCAGGAAGTAGTGCAGCTGTGCATAAAGTCTATTGTTACCGTCAACTGTCTGGTTACTAACATTCTTCAAAATATTTTCTTTATTGTTCAACAGAAGAACGAAATTCGTACAGGTTAGGGACAACATAAGATTAAAATGATGGCAAAAAAAAAATGTTTTGGAGGGTGAACTATCACTTTAATAAGACTTAATTCTGTTAACAGACAACAGTCATTATCATTGTATCTATCTGTTAAGGCGGAGCTGAAGAAGTCGTCGGGTCTTTGGATGGACAGCTCGAGGAAATTTTTGGGATGCTAAAAAAGAAGCTAAATGAGGATGCAAGTTTTACACCACCTATAAGAGCGTTTGTGTCCAATTTCTTTCAAATAAAGACTGACAGTGCTCTGCAGTCATCACTTTTTTGTTTTGGTAAGGCCACGCAGACAATCAATCAGATCAGTGTAGAACCTGCTCCAGGTCCACGGAGGAAAGGGGCTCTGGCTGGACGTAGAGCTGTTGGCAGACCCCCAAAGAGCTCAAGAAGAGAGCACCCATACTGCAACAGCAAATCCAACAATCCCCAAACTCTCACATTCTGTTTGCAGGAAAATAACTCCCTTGAGAAGACAGTCCCCAACACACCACCACCAGCTTTTGGTTTGTGTGAAGGTCCAACTACTGTCTAGAGGATATTAAATTAATAAGTCTTAAGAAGCTGGGCTTTACAGAGAACATCATGAAATCATCTACTTTATATTTCTGGTCTTCTTGTGCACAATTCATCAGTGCATGTTGTTCTAGAGGAGGAAATGTTTGTTTGTATATTTAATTACAATATAATGACTTATTGACTTTGTTCTGATGTGTGGGGATGAAACACACTTTTCACTATTATGTAAGTTCCACCTTACCTTTTTTATAATTGAATGTTTAACTCTGCAGTGTCACATTATGGAAGTAAATTGGGCTGCTAAAGCCGTTTCATGTTCGCTTATAATGACTGTCATATTTTTAAAGGTGTCCAGACACCTAATGTTATGGTTACCTTTAAGGTTAACAACCTTATATAAAAAGAAAATTTGTTCCTAATATCCTCAATTTCTTGATTTTTTTTTTTTTTTGGGCAATGATCTTTACTATTGTGTGTACACCACTTAAGTTTTATTCAGATCCAGTACTGCATCAAGCTGTCAGTGGTGGCCAGTTTAATGTGATTTCATTATTTACAAAACATGACAAATGGTCCAATCTTACTCTTTATGCACATGGACAAAAAATTATTATGCATCGTTTTGCTTTTTTTTTTTTTTTTGATGACAAAATATCACTTGTCAATTATTTGTAAATTTCTGGGTTTTGTCCCATGAATGGTAAGGTATGATAGAATAGTTTTGCTTTATAGACAATGTACAAATAGCTTGTTATTTCGGGCACTACAAATGTGTAGTTATAGGTATAATACTTGCCTTTGTAAAGTACTCAATAAACCTGTAAGATCATGATTAATACCAATATATCTGTGATTAAAATATTTTATATCTCATTGCTGTCATAAATGTCTTAAGAACAAAATAATATTTTGAAAATTCACTGAAATTAGGACATCATCTTTGGAACCGTAAACATTTTATGAATTGGAAATGCACTAACCCTAATCTGGTATTCTGTTTGGATATTAATACAATTCACCCATGCAAAATTAAGTGTATTTGTTGGTAATGCACTGGAAAGCTTGATCTTCCAAAAAAGGTTATTTCAAATGGAAATGCATTTACCATGTTAAAAACTATCCCAAAGTCATTTTTCTATTAATTGACAACTACGGGTTTTATGGGATTTGTGCGATTAAATTACAAAGATGCATTTGCATCAAACACATTTACATGTATTCACAAGTCAAAATCTTAAATGAAATTGTTTATTTTGTTGATGACAAACCCCAGCAGAATGAATAAGTTGTACAAAATATCTTGGCACCTGAGAGTAAAAACAGACTTTTCATAGTATGAATAGAATACAAAGATTTCCCCAGATTATTTGAATTTGTTTTAAATTGAAAACTGCTTTGTGATGCATGGTTGATGTCAAAGAACAACTTCTTTCTTGTAGCCCAATCATATCTTTCCTCGGTCCTCCTTGAGAGTAACGGTTCTGTTGAATACCAGCTGGGGAGGAAGAGGTGACAGATGAGACAAGTGTTTTCCTCTACTGTATGTTCATCTTTTTGACAATTTAATGTTTCTGGAAATACCTTTTCAGATGTGCTATCAGGGTCCAGGGAAAAATAACCCACTCTTTCAAACTGAAATTTATCAAACACTTTGGCCTTGCCCACGGAACGATCCACCAAGGCACTTTCAATCACTGTTAAGGAATTCTAGCAATGACAACAAATAATAATAATTATAAGCAACCAATTCTTTTTCAAAATGTTACTCAATAATTGTAACCAAAATGTATATATTATTGCATTAATTTTTCAAGCCATGATTGACTTTTCTAGATTAAGGCCGTGCGTCCACCAAAGCGTTTTTAGCCAGCTGAAAACGCCAGACGCTCTGCTGAAGACGCTGTGTTTTGGGCGCTTGAGAGCGTTTTGGCAGCGTAGCGTTTTTTCTGTTGAGACGTTTCGTTGCTATGATACAGAATACCCGCAGCACAGTTTATTTGTAACTAATTTCGCAGATAATTTATTTCATACTAAAAATGTATTTTTCATCCATTTTGTTCGGTTAGCTCTGCCAGCTGATGCCGTTGTACAGAAAGAATGTTGTGACAGTTGGTCAGTGTGGTTTAGTCCCGCCTCTCCTCCACTGCGATTGGACGGCTGGGTAAGAAGTGACAGTGATGAGCACTGCGTTTTATCCAAAGTTGAACATTTTTCAACTTTTAGCAACCAGTAAAAAAGCCTGGGCGCTTGGCGCTTCAGCGTGAAAAAAAACGCTCAGCGCCTCGTTACGCTCATGGCTTTTAAAAAACGCGGCGCTCCCATTGAAAAAAATTGAAAACATACGCCAGGCGCGTGGAAAAACGCTTTGGTGGACACATGGCCAAAGGCCTACTCCTGGCTTAATTTAAACTCTGTCCGGGAAGCTGCCTCTTACAGTTTGCACTTTGTTGCATTGCACATTTTAGTTTGTTGTAAACAAACTTTATTTAAAAATCATAGTTTATCCTATATAATGTATTGCCTTACAGGGTTAATGTCACTCAGGAATCCAGCAGGAACTTCAGCTGAGTCCTCTGGGTGTTTATGGAGAAAACTACAGACAAAAATATGAGAGTGAGGGTAAAACACACAGTCTGTGAAAAAGACGTAAGACATGAAATATTAAAATGAAATAAAAACCTTTAGTTTGTCAGCACACAAGGAAACTTACAGGCTTTCATACAGGCGCACTTCACACCGCAGTGGCTCGCTCACCCAATGAATGAATGCTTTGGGTTTCTCCCCAGAGTCTGAGCTGACACACGTCACCTCTAGCTCACACACTTTACCACAGTTATCCTGACAAGAGAAAAGACATTTAACTCTACAAAGCCTACTGTATTACGTATATTTGATATGCAAATTTCTAAGGCCTCTAAATTATTAACATGATCAAAACTTTGCTGAGAAGTCGTTGTACACAAACTTCAACATGCCTTTTGATCAATCAGCTTATTTACCAAAAATATTCTCAACAAAAACATATGCAAATAAAAAAATTAAATAAAAAAAAGCAAACTAAGTGGATCATGTGAGTTAAGTGAGTGGGTGTTTCACCTTGATGACGCGCTGTACAGAGATGACGTATCCTGCATGTCTCAAGCCTACCGGCTGATCTGGAGTCAGGCGCTTGTAGCCCTTCTCCATTACCTACAGCAAACACAAAACAGCAAAAATGCTCACCTCTGCATATATGGGATACTGGTTCAATTCAAAACAGATCCTCATATGAAATGATCTTAAAAACACCTCTCTAAAGTCACTCTGCTCAATAAAGATGGTCTTTGAAAAGGAAACCACGTGGCTGCCCTTGGCTTCATTGGCTGGGAAGTCTGGGACTCGAAGCTCCTTCTGAATGGGGGGAAAAACAGATGAGTGATGCACTGCCGTTATAAGAGTGCGCTTCGCAGAAAAAAGAACACATTGATGCTAAATTGATGCGAGGTAATTAATTAGTTCATAATTAATATCATTTAGATTTTTTTTTGTTTTTACATAAATGAATACTGTAACATTGCAGTGTTTTTTGTTTTATTTTTGCAAGAGATATTTTCTATTTAGTAATGGACTGTTGGAATCTTGGAATCTTGGAATGGAATCTTATAATCCGTATTTTCCGCATTATAAGGCGCACTTAAAAGCCTTTAATTTTCTCAAAAAACGACAGTGCTCCTTATAATCCGGAGCGTCTTATATATGGATCAATTGGTTAACAACGCTTCGTGTTATTAAATTCGCCCGCAAAACTTGCGCTCGTGTCCATCTTATGCATGCTTTGTCACACGGCCAGTTCAACCTCGTATAAATCAGGTTATGTGTAAATCAGGTGCCCGCTCACGAGCGCTCACACACTGTCCCTGACGCTGCTCACTGAATGTTCATAAAGCGCTCCCCGTTCACAGTAACCGGGTCGTCTCATTCAAAACAGCCAGCTGTTGCTGTCAGCGAGCCGCCGCACATTAAATACTCACATGAGTCAGGCTGCGAATGTAAGTTACATGCCCGCCCCAGCGCGCTCACGCTTACTAAATAAATGCCTCACCTCCGGCGCAGTGCACTCGCAACATTTCCTTTAGCCTTTAGCACATCTAATGGGTGCATAACGCAAACCCAGTCAAACGTTTGACTGCAGTCTCTTATACTTATACGCCTTATAATCCGGTGCGCCCCCCGGAAATCCGATAGAATTCAACCAATCAGATGACGACTTCAACATTCCTGAAGTGTTTCCAGTTAAGTGTACCATATGCATCAGACGTTTAGTCAACGCTCCGTGGGCGTGACGTCTGAGGCTGAGACTACAAACGTCATAACGGGCAGGTGGTCAGGGCTGGCAGCGAACAATCACAGAGTAATCCAAAGTAGTGGAAGTAGTGCTGGCCGGTATAATGTTCATACCGCTTATTGTTCATACCAGTGTATATTTTTGTTATTATATTAATTTTTAATATACCACCATACTGATGTATTTCATTCGCTGCGCTGCACGACACTGTTTCAGACGGACCCTTTACAATGTTGCACTTCTAAGCAACGACATCCCATGAGGCCTTGCGTCAAAAGTGGGCGCGCCTTCCGGTTTGAAGTAAACAAAGCACGATTTGACATGCTTGACACTCGTTCATTCAACAGTTGACAGTCATTCAAGTTATAGCGATCCACACTAGCTAACGATGTGGGAACACAACCTCAACGAAATTAAAAAGGGTGAAATAACAGTACCTTAACCCTCCGCAGTAGTTGATTGGCAGTATTATAATAACATTATTAATAATCAATACTCATAAAGGCATGGTGACAGACAGTTGTACGAACTGACAAACAATTAAAATAAAAAATACACACTTAGTCATTGTGTTGGAGTTTATTCAAAATTATAAATGAATGTGCTACTTGAATACAGTAACTGGCACATTTGGTATTCTGTCAACACAGGCTTTGATCCTGAGTTTAGGTGCAACATCAGTAGAGAACAGTCAAACACATGCTGATAAAAGTTTATAGAATATTAAGAATTTAAACAAATGTACACAGGAAGATTCGTCGTCTTTTGGGAGGTGATGGAAACTACAGTCGTTGGCAGGATCACTCTTATTTCGTTTTCAGCTTATGTTTAAAACAATCACGTTTAAGCCACTGAATTAGTTTAGTCCGGTTATACATACAACCGTGAACAGCACATGTTGCCCCTGAGCTCCGTAACGACATCTCTCATAAAGATTTGCGTCTTTAAATTGTAAAATAGTTCTCCGAAAAACAGCTAGCCTCTTCGCTAACTAACACACAAAATACCATTGGAATGCTACTTCCGCCGCCTCACCGGAAGTTTCACCCACTTTATTTTTTACAGGAGCGCCCCTCGGAAACTTGTGGATAGACTATGGGTACACAGCAGTGCTCTGGTGTTACGTTACAGGGAAGATGGATGCCACAGAACTATGGCAATATTTTCCTGTCAAATGTCGAGAGCGCACTATTGTATTGCGAATCTCTCTGCTTGTGCATGGGATATAATGTGCCGCGTGCGCTCTCAGATAAACGCTGCTCTTGGAAGAATAGCTCAGGGAATCCTGCACATAAAACGTGTTCAGTGCAATCACGAATCTATCCTCTTCCCCAGATAACAATTGTAGGTTATAAGAACGTTTTCATAACGTTCTCATTAAGTTATAAAACATTATTTCCGAATGTTTTAGGAACATTCAAAACATCCAGTTTTTTAGACGTTGTATTAACGTTATTTCTTGGTTATAAGAACGTTATTCAAAACGTTATATGAACGCTCAGTTCTCCTGTTAT